ACATGAAAAAAATTAATTTTTACTATGCTACGCAAACAAAATTTGCTAGGTATATATTTTTTACTTATCTTTACAATACTAACTTTCATTCAACAAGATTTGATTTTGTAATAAAAAATTTTACTAAATAAAATTTAGTATAAAAACGTGTAAAAATTACGTTGTATTATTGTTTTTAAAAAAATAATTATAGCATTTAAACTTATAATTTACATGAAGAACCGCAGTTACTACCACATTATAGTAATTTTAAATATAAAATTTTCTCCGTGTATTATATATGATTAATTAAATCTTTTTTAAGTGGACAATGAATTATAATTTAAAATGGAGTTATTTATGGAATTGGAAATGTTGAATGTTACATATTGATAATAAGCAAATTTTTAAGATATTGTTTTGTATACAGGGCGTTCGGAAATTAACCGACAACTTTTTCTTCTCATAAAGCACTAAGAATTTTTTCAGAATTTTTTATCAACTTTTTAGTACTGCATTTTCTTATTTTTATCAACTTGAGAATATACGGTATTAAAAAATTTTAAAAAAATTCTGAAAAAATTCTCAGAATTTTATGAGAAAAAAATAAACAATTTTTATATATAGGAAGTATATATACATAAATGTTTATGTTACCTGATCTTATCTTTTAAAAACATGCAGGTAAAATATCCATAATATGAATCTTACTTCTTGTGAATTTTAAAGTCAACATTAATTTTACATAAATGTCATTTTTGCATTAAATAATTTATTTAATATCCATCTTTATCTTAAAAATATTAGTTAAATGTTGTTTCTTTTTTGCACCAGAGGATATCAAAATGATTGCATGTCATTTCATGTATCTACCGAATGGCAGTTCGAAGTAAGTTTAAATACGCAACCGATGTTTTTAAAACCTATAAAAGTAGTTCATGAGCTATTACGTATTGAAATCTACTTGCTTAAAATTATAAATTTATTTAGATTTAATCATTTTCATTTTTTTTTTAAATTTAATATTTCTCTTTTAAACATGAAAATGAATTATACTTACATTTCCAAAATTTGCAAAAGAGAGACTTAATAATCTTCCAGCAGTAATTTGTACCGGATGTCCAGACATATTAATCATCAGCATTAAATCAAGAGCGACTTTTCCTGGTAAATTATACCATTCAATTGTATATGTAGTATTCCCGACTTTGCTGCACTGTATATCCAATTTTGTATATTTGCGGATTACATATACATATTAGTTGAGTATATTATTTAAATACAGAATTGGCCGAAATAAAATTCTGCGAAATCATGGTAATTAATTTAGTCCGACATAAAATTTATGTATAAGCACCTGTTCCGTTAATAGTTCGCCGATGTAACAAAATATAAAGATGTTGAAGACAAATGAAACAAATAGAAAAAAGTACGTGAAGATTGCTATACCGTCACTATTGTTCCACTCCTGCGAATGGAATATCGATTCCGTATATTTTATCGGGAAATGTGAACTAGACAATTCATTAACTAAATGTAATTATTATTACTTGAATATAATTATAATTACTTGAAATGTATGAAATATTTCATTACCGTTATCAGGGAATATTCTACCAAGCACATTATCAATGTCGTTCCCACTATTTCGACTAGACACAACTCGCGCAAGGTATCTTCGATACCAGCTGAAAATCTACAAAGTTACGAGCGAGCATTCGTCAAATATTTTCAACAAAATGAAGGAAAACATAATTCTTTTATCGGATATTATTTTTAATAATGTTAATTTTGCATACTTATATATATAAACTTTAATTTTAAAAATTCGCAGAATATTCTTGTGGAGACATTATTAAGACGTGTGGATAATTTTACAGGTAATAAGATGCAGGTAGAGCAAGACAAGATACTTACCTTAATGTTCTCACGTGATGCTGCACGATAATCGCCATATATTTCTCAAACTTGATATGATCGCGTTCTCCCTTGAAAAGATTCTCCACACGTGCAATCACAATGTCGATCTGGCCACACGCGTGAGCGACGAACATGGCTGCTAAGCAGCACACTGACGTGGTGATGTTGAACATAACAATACCGATAAAACATTGAAGCGAAAAGGCAAACACATAAACCGGCATTAGTTGCAAATCGAAAACAATATCGAAGCCGAGATAAGCCATTGGTCGGACGGTGACATTCTGTTCGTTTGCGTCCGATGTTTGCGATAGGAATGGCATTACTGTATTGTAAGACAAGCCGCCGCAATACATGAATACTATACAAAATTTGGACAGCAAGTGACCCTTCTCCGCGTCTCTCATCATGATTTCTCGATGATATTTTTCTTGAACCGTACGCCAATCTGTACTGAGAATCTGAACGCATCGTCGAATACTCTTATGACGTATCACTAGGAAAAGGTACTTCAGCATGGAAAAGAACACGTAACCCAGTGGGCCCAGCATCTTCATTTTTTCACCCATGATACTTCGGTCCGTAAAGGTGTACATGCTCGTAAGTACCAAGAATAAACCGAGTACAATCCAACACAATGCAAACGAGAACGTTGCCAGGATCTTTTCAATCATTGTGGTGTCCGGGTATATCAATGGCCAGATCCCAAGAACCCTCAATAACCATCGGTTCCATATCAGAATGTCGATTATATCCTTCTCATGATTTGCATTGGGCCATGTCGGGATTTTGCCCATATTGCTGTGTCGAAGGTGCGCGAGCGACTGGCTGGTACCACATCGATTGTAGAATGGTAGAAAATTTGCGCATGACCATAATAAGTACTTTCAGCGACATATTAGGGAGAACAAAAGAACGAGAAAGGTAGAAAGGGAGGAGAAGCTAGCACGGGCTTGAAAAATCGATTTTGTGGTAGAAATGTATAGCTTCAGTTGTACGTTGTCACCTGCAAAGATGATTACTACGTAGAAGTACTACAGGCTTATCATTGAGAATTGTGTTGAACGTAAATCGTTATGTTTTTCCTCCTTTGTTTCGATGATCGTTTTTTTTTTATTATGGTCACGTATTTGATACCTGTCTATTTCATTTAAATCATTATAGAAGCCAGTTCATAAGTGTCATCATGAACGCATTAATCATCGAATAAAGGAGGTTCAAAAATTTTATTTAAAAATCATAATTTTTTAAATATATTATTGACGTGGATAAATACAGGTAATTTTATTATAAAACTTTTGTACAAAATATTTTTTTTGATATCTTGAATAGTTTTGTAAATATGACGGAGAGGGGAGAGGACCAGAAACGGCTTTACTTGTAAAGAATGATTTCACTTCTTAAAATTGTCCTTCCACACAATTAATATTTTCTAACTTCATTTATAGATTAACGTAACTTATACGTGTTTCATTAAAATTATACCAGATTTTATAAAATCAGAATTTGGCATTTCGCAAGGTTCCCTTGTAAGTATACTTTTGCTTAAAATATAATATCAAACTTGATATAATACTTGATATAATATCAAACAAAATAAATAACTAATAATATTTGAATTAATCAAATTTTAATCGATGGTATATATGTTATTTTATTATTAATATTTCCTCTGTACAATATCTATAATAAAAATAGATTTGTTTCGCAAATTTTAAATAGTAAGAGCTATAGTATATGGAATATAAATTCTATTCTGTAACCGTACGAAGTAAATTTAAATATACTACTGATGATTTGAGTACCTGAAAGTGATATGAAAGTGACAAAACTCAGAATTACATAAATAAGAAAGAGTACATACACACATACACATATACACACACACATGCACGCACGCACGCACAGTAGCTGTAAAAAAAAAAAATTTTTTTTAATCGGCCACTTAGCTCGAAAGCTTCCATTTCATGCCAAAAGAACGTCCCTAAATTTTTATCAAAAAATATTAAGATTTAGAGATCGCTAGTGAACGATTTTTAAATCAAAGTTTCGATTTTCCTTAATACATGTTTGATTTGATACAAAAATGGCTTAATCCGGATTTCAAACGTGATACTATATGTTTTTTTGATTGTTGAACACGATGCAATAGTTCATTTAGCTCTACGATATACGCCTTAAGAAATGTAGTCCTATTAATGTGAAAAAATTAACAAATTTCGAGTTCAAGGTCGATTTTAGCAAGATGCCAACTGTTCAAATGTGTCGTTATTTCCCTCCAATTGTATGTCTATTCATCCAGTACAAGATCCAGTTAGAATTTTCCTGAGACGTCGTACAGAGCCTTTAAAAGTTGCATTTAACTGTATTATAAGACGTTTTTAAATTTTTTTCTATCCTTAAAAAAGTTCTAAGTAAATCGCTTTGTGGTTTTGACACCCTCATATCAAATGCTTCAATTTAACGATAAAAAACTCTTTATTAGAAAATGAAATAAGTACATAATACAAATAAACATAATTTAATAAATTGAAATAAACTACATATTATGTATTATAGTATTTTTTTTTATTACGTATTCATTTCCTAATAAAGAGTTTTTTATTGTCAAATTGAGGCATTTGATTTGAAGATGTCAAAGTCACAAAGCGATATACTTTAGAACTTGTAAAAAAATGTTTTTTGTCCTTAAAAACGTATTAATAATTCAGTTAAATGAAACTTTTAAAGGCTCTTTAAGAGGTCCTGGAAAAATTCCAACTGGATCTTGTTCTAGGTAAACAGACCTACAATTGTAGGGGAGTAACGACACATTTGAATGATTGGAATCTTACTAAAATCGGCCTGGAACTCAAAATTTGGTCATTGTTTCACATTAATAGGACTACATTTTTTAAAGCGTATATTGTAGAGTTAAATGAACTATTATATCGTGTTTAGCGATCAAAAAAACACAGCAACACATTTAAAATTCCGGATTAAAATCCGGATTAAGCCATTTTTGCATCAAATCAAACATGTATTAAGAAAAATTGAAACTTTGATTTAAAAATCGTTCACTAGCGATCTAAATCTTAATATTTTTTGATAAAAATTTAGGGTTATTCTTTTGGCATGAAATGAAAACTTTTGAGCTAAGTGGATTTAAAAAAAATTTTTTTTTTCTTGACAGTCTCATACATAGGTAAATTAACAATCAAGTTTGGCGATTAAGCAATAATAATAATAATTGTGTGAGAAACTCACAGCACCAAATGTGTTCATAGATAAATCGATAAATTTGCCAGCTGTAAGTTTAGGCGGATAATGAGACATTGCGATGATCAGCACAAGTTCGAGAGCTTTATTCCCAGATAAATTATACCAATTGATTTCATAGGCGGCGGCACCAATTTTGCTATACTGAAAATACGAAACATTAATACATAAATATACTTGTATTTTCTATAATATGTGTGCAAGATTATATAAAATATTTTATTATTTATAATCTACTATATGCATACTGAAAAAAATATTTGCAAATGTTTTGATTTTAATAAATGTTTGTTTAAGTAGTATTAACTAAACATTTATTTACAGCAAATAAATCTTTATTCAATAAAAAAATTTAATGAAATTAATAGTTTATGTATAAATCAAATAAATATATGTTTACATTTAATAAATATTTAGTTAATACTATTTAAACAAATATTTATTAAAATTTAAGATAATTATTTACATTACAGAATCCCTCAATGACCTTGATCTTGACATACGTTGTCAAGGTCATGACCCTCAGTGACCTTCAACAAGTTTTAGCCGTCGCTGATTATTCGTTAAAAAGTTATTTGCAGTCAAAGTTAGTAATTATTTTCCTGCTTTACATGAAAAGTCAGATAATCTAGATAGGGAGACAGGTTTGAAGTGAACCGATTAAGGGAATACGGCTTTCCACGCAAAGCGAGTTTCATCCCACCTTTCCTGTCAAGAAGCGTCCGACTTTCTACGCGAAGCGAGTTCCACTTCACCTCCCTCCTGTCAAAAGGCGTCCGACTTTCCACGTGAAGAGAGGGCAC